CAAAACCCACCCTTTCTATTATTTTAGACATGTTACCATCTCTCATAGAATTAGTTGTTTTCCTAATGGCAATAATTACCTTCCCAGTGACTCTACAAGGCACCTTCTTTCCACAAGTCTAAGAATTTTGTAAACCTCAACTGCTATAGAAATTTGGTGACCTATCTCTATATCTTGATAGATTGGTGCTTCAGACTCTCTCTTCCTGAGTCTAGCATGATTTGGTGAACCAATGCCCCTCAGGGAAACTATGTATACCTTGAAACTACAATGTTAAGTTTAAAATCAACTATTTTTTTTTCAATTTATAGAGAAATACTAAGAGTAAGCACCTCATTCCTCCCAAAATATTAGTTAAACAAAAAAATTTCCACAAATATCTTCCCTGGCATTGCTTCTGCATTTACATTCTTTTCTCTCTTCATTTTGCAAAATGAGACATTTTCTGATTTTCTGGTGAGGACATTTCAAGTCTGCATCATAGTTTTGCTTAACAATTTACAAAAGCATTTGATTTTTTTTTGTACCAGTAGCCCAGTTTTACAAATTTGTAACAACTGAGACTGTATTTGGCCTAAAGGCTGTCTAGAAATTCTTAGCTTTGCTCTTCTATGTTGTGTTATGATGAAGCAAACTAAGGAAAAGAGGTTGAAGTCTCATTTAGCACAGGCCTGTGCTACCTTTCCCTGCATGAAAAACACCATAAAAAATAATGAAAACCATAAACCATTGTGCATTGATTGAAATGGGTATTTCAGTGTGTGACGTCAGCATCATGACAAAGTGTGTCTCCTCTTAAATCTACAACAAGTGGAACATCTAGAACCCAACAAAGGCACCTCTACTCACCTCGATAGTGGGCATCTTGGGATGTGCAGGACAGGCAGGATGGAGAGAGGAGCAGGGACAGGCCCCTACTGCAGTTCTCCAAGGACAAGGCTGAACTTACAGCCCTTGCAAACACAGTACTGGTGGGGGAGGCAGGGTGCAGTGCCCACACCACTGCCCAGTAGGAGTCCCTCCCCCTCCCCAAATCCAGATCCCTCCCCAGCTGCAGCTGTGCTCACACCACCACAGACCAGTAGCAGCAGCAGAGCCAAGTTTCCAGCCTCCAGGCCACAGCACAGTGCTGCCAGTGGCCAAAGGGAATGAGGCAGCAGCTCAGTGGGCTCACAAACTGGCTCCCCTCAACTGGCCACACCCACACCTTCCCCGATGGGGTGCCCTGAGGCCCACGTGACCAGGATACAGCACTGGCACCCACCACCCTAGTTACCCAGGCTGCCACTCCCATGTCCAAGGGTAAGCCTCAAACACCTTGACTCACTGCACACCCTCCCCAAGCTTCAGTAGTACAGGTAAGAGAAAAGAAAAACTGCACTATAAGACCATCTACTGGAAAACAAAAGAAAGACCTGAAATTATCAACCTGCTGAATTGTGAAAATCACAACATTCCTAAGAAAAGTGTTCAGCACTTCAAATGTGCCAGCAGAGGAACAACCCATCAAGCAGCCTGGACCACCATAGTAACACTAACACAGAAAGAAAATGATAATTCTCCAGAAGGAAACTCAGAATACTGGACGATTGTGATCTAAATGAACAGAGAAATCAAAATAGCAAAATAGTCATGAAGGAACTCAGCGAGATACAAGAAAACTCAAAATCAGTTCAACAAGCTCAGGAATGAAATGAATGAACAGAAGGAGTACTTTACCAAACAGATGAGAAGTATAAAAAAGAACCAAACAGAAATTCTGCTGCTGAAGAAGTCAATAATAATATGAAGAAGGAATATTTTAATAGCACTGATACACAATGAAAGCTAGTTGCTATTTCAAGACTCCCTATCATTGCCATCTTAGTCATCAATCATTCAAGTGCTGTCCAGATAAACAGACATAAGTACACTTAATTTAAAAATTCAAATATTAATACATAAATTTAAAAATAAAAATTCAAATATTTGCTAAATTTAACTATTTTATGAATGACAGCTGCTCAGCAAGACAATTTACAACAATTGGAATAAAAATGCTGAAGTAAATAGCAATTAACACTGCCCTTTGACCTAAGAAGATGACAAACATTTTCACTTAAAGAGAGAAATTTAACCTTTTAGTGCTACAAGTTATTTAATTCATTAAAATGATTTATCTCCATTTCATTTAAGTAGCAAACATCCATAAATGGTTAAATATTTAGATGTCAATCATTCACTTATGGTTAGGGGTGGAAAAGTTGGGGTTCAGCAAAACTTAAAAATGGTTATGAGCCATCACCAATTTAAAATCCATTAGAAAGTAAGCCAAAGCATCTCCAAGTACACCACTGGTTATTAGACAAGAATATATAATTTCTAAAATCAAAGTGACATGCAGCTTTTTAAGAAGTTTAAAATGTGTCACTTTAGGCATAGTAATTGAATAAAGTTAATGATAGGTATCTCTTGCAAATGAGACATCCAGGGACTTAAAAGTGATTATAAAATTTCTGTCTCCTTTCTACATTAGCACAATAATTAAGACTTTTTATTAGTGTGTACTAGTCAATTAAGCAACTCGGAATTTCACCAAATGAAACACAAGAATTATATCAGAAATCTGAAACCCAAGAGGAAAAAAGATAATATAACTAACCTGTGGTAAGTTGAAGTGCATGGACTTGAGGTAGGAATCCCCAAGTTTTCTCTTGGAATGGAATTTCTCTTGCTGAGCTGTTTCTCCCAGTAAAGTTTGTTGCTGACTTCTGCTAGCTTCTCCTTAATCCTAGGAAAACTGTAAACAACAAATGCTTAGTATTTTATTTTTCTCTAAGTGACTTGCAATTGTTTAAAGTAGCCAGGACAGTAAGTGGAATTGCCCATTAAATAGCATTTTCGCAATGAAAACGTGTCAGAGAAGATCTGCTCTATTCAAGTACAGGTTCTTAATTTTTCTAAAAAAGTACTTATGTTTCCAGGCAGTGGGGGGAGCAGGTTCCTAACTAAGTACTTAATCCACAGTGGGGAGGCTATCAGTGATGCAGACGGCTTATCAGGTAATACTTGCTGCCTCTGGAAGGGCTGGACTTACAAGACCTTTTAAGATGCCCTTGGATGTACTTAGTAGCCACTTTAGAGATTAAAAAAAAAAAACCCTCAAAGACATTGTCAAGCATTTGCCTTCACCACCCTTGTACAATACACTCATTACCTTGGAGATATTAATCATTTAACACCCAGGCATTATTTAGAACAACAACCTGTAAGGGAGAACAAGATATCCTGGCTGGTGATCAAATGAATGAAAACAGCTCTAGAGGCCATCTATCTATATTATAAAAGGCCTGTGGCCATAATGCTGGAACGCCAGAACAACCAAACAACCCATCACGAGAAGGTGCATGGAGCACCTCTCAGTCGCTGCCCCCAGCCTGCCAGCCGTTTGGCACAGAGTTGGGGTCTGAGGCCTGTGGGGCAGAGGCAGTGAGCTACTCTCGCACGGTGGGCCTGGGGTCCTGCCGGCATGGCGGGTCTGGGTTTTGTGTGATTTTGCTTGCTGGGCCTCTAGTTATGCAAAGTGTCTCCTTGGGAGTTCAACCAAAGACAGGGCATTTGATCACTTGCTATGATGTGTGCTGACCACCAGGGGGTGGTGAGGAATGAAGGGAGGCCCAGGCTGGCAGCCCAAAAGCCCTGGTAGGCTCTCATCGCTGGCCAGGCCTAGGGACCCGATCTGTGCACCAATTTCATGCACTGGGCCTCTAGTCTATTGATAATAACAAAGTTCACAATCAAGAAAGTAAATATACCAAGTACCAGAATGTGTTGGAGTAACTTAACCCTTTGTGTTTAAGTTTTTATCTTAACTATTTCTATTTAGGGGGCTTCTGACAAGCAATTATACTAATAAAAAAGTAATATGCTAATTAGACCGGAGACCTTCTGAAGACCTTTGGACAAAGCCAGAGGCTTGGCTAGCCTGCAAACCGCCCCCAAACGGCCCTCAGCTCCTCACCCAGGCTGGCCATGCTCCCCCAGCGGGGACCCTCACCCCGATGAGGGCATGGCCAGCCTGCAAATGGCTTTCAGCCCCTCACCCAGGCTGGCCATGCCCTCCAGTGAAGTCCCCCACCCTGATGGGGGCATGGCTGGCCTGCAAACCACTCCAGCCACTCACCCAGGCCGGCCACCCCCCCAAGGTGACCCATATCCTGATCTGAGACCCCTTTCAGGGCAGACCAACCAGCCCCAACCAATGCACCAGGCCTCTTTCTATATTAATAAAAGGGTAATATGCTAATTAGACCAGGAGACCTTCTGGATGTCTGTCCGGACAGAGTCATAGTGGTGGGGCCAAGACAGAGGTGGTTAGGGCCAATCAGGCCAAAAGGGGAGGGCAGTTGGGGTTATCAGGCTGGTGGGGGGACAGCTGAGGTCGAGCAGGCCGGCAGACAGAGTGGTTAGGGGCTATCAGTCAGGCAGGCAGGTGAGCAGTTAGGAGCCAGCGGTCCCCGATTGCGAGAGGGTTATCTGACTGCCCATTTAGGCCCGATCCCTGTGGGGATTTCCCACAGGGATCAAGCCTAAACTGGCAGTCGGACATCCCCCAAAGGGTTCCCAGATTGGAGAGGGTGCAGGCTGGGCTGAGGGATAACCCCTCCTCCCCTGTGCACTAATTTCGTGCACTGGGCCACTAGTTTATAATAATATCGCTGTTTAAATTTTAGAGCTTCAAGACACTCAGCTTAAAGACTAGTAGTAGACCCAGATAACTACATGGAAATATTAAGTGGGGAAAATAAAGGCAGGTAAAAGCAAAAAAGGGGGAGAGATGAAACCATCTTAGAGGGACATTTGAAAGGTAAGTTTATTTACTAACATCACTTTCCAAAGTTAAAGGACCTAGTTGGCTTTCACTCCCTACTAATCTATGAACCTGGCCCAATAGTAACTATGTTTAAAGTTTAGAGGCTAATTAATGAATTAAATTTATTTTCTCTGATTCTGCATTTGACTTACTCAGTTAGCTGATTTTCCAGTAACTTTCTGCCTTCCAATTCTTCTTGGTAGAGTCGCACATATTTTTTCAATTCTCTTTCGATATCATCTTGAGAAGTTTGCACTTTAGAGATTTCTGATTCCAATTCTTTATTTCTGAGTTCCAAGTGACTTGTTGAAGCCTGATCATTTATCTTCTGCTCTGACGTTTCTTGAGATGCTCTTTGTCTCTACAACAAATAAAAAGGATACATTCTTAAAGTAATTATAAGCTGAACACTTATATTTGTTTTCTTTAGTTTTGAGTCATCAACTCAGAGATCAGCTTTAAGTGTGAAAAAAGCTGAAATTTAAAATAGTTATCATCAATGTCCACTGAATTAAATCTGAGTTATAAAGTTTATCATTCTTCTATTAGTACTCATGTAATCTGATAATTCAAAGAATAATAGAATCAGTATAAGATATTAAAAGTTAAAAAATATAACTTAATTCAAGAGTATGGTACAATTTTGAAATCACGTTTTTTACCTTTTCTTCCTAATAGTCTTATTTTACATCAACTGGTCTTAAAACTAAAATGAAGGATCATTTGGAAAGATCAATTTAGTGATAATGTTGGAAACTAAAATAGTGAAAAGGAAAAACAAATGCCACCTTCCTTCCAGAAATCTACAAAATAAATTGCTATTAAAGGGAGTAAAGGAGAGGCAAAAATACTGTATTTATCGAAAAGGTAATTTGCAGTGAAATGAATTAAAGCACAATAAATCAAAAAAATTAACCTGTAAAAGTGAATTGACTTTTTCTACTTTGTCTGCTACATCCCGTATTGCTCTTTCTTCAAGCTTCTTTTTATAGTCTTCTAATTCACAGATTTCTACCATATTCTTTTCTATATTTCTGAGGTTTACTGCTTCTTGTTTTGCCTTCTTTACTCTATCCTTTAGTTCTTCACGTCGCTTTAGAAGTGCTTCCATTGATAACTCCTGTTGAGGTGTCTTTTCCTCATCCAGACGTATACATTTTGAAGATGATGGTTGCAGTTTTGCTATAAGCTCATCATTCTGCATGAATAAAAGAATATAGTTTGGTTATGAAGGTGTGGACACCAGTATGAAATTTTGAAATGAATTCAGTGGCAACAAAATGTTACCTATACTCTGGTAGGGTCTTAGAATGTGAAACCTTCAATTGCTCAGAATCAAGATCAAAGTTAAAACAACCAGGAGTCACAAAAATGTATTTACTGTTGTCATCTTTGCCACACAACATCTCTTCTGCCCTTGATTTTATACTCTTTTTTTCTATGACTGTTTCATGTCTTTCCTCCACAAAATGACTATGCATTGCTCCTGAATAGAAAGTCTCATATCTCTTCCCCCATCTTAACACTTCATAATCTTACACAAAAGTTTTAGGGGTATGGTATTCAGATATTCAGGACTGAGTCAAAAAATGCCTCACAAAATAAGACTTTGGAAATGAGACTAATTAATTAATCTTCTAAATATAGACTCTAATGTCATATGTCTTTTATTGAACTGTGAACGTTTGATGCTAATTTGAATTGCATTCCAAAAAGAAATGATTCCCCGAGTTACTGAGAAATTACATCTCTCACTGTAAAAGTTTAGCGAGATGAGCCCTACATTTTTCATAATAAAAAAAATGAGGATGGGGCTTAATCCAATAGTGCTATCTTGAAATTCTCTGTTACTTCCCACAAACTAAGGAAACATAGTAAACAAAACAACATCATCAACAACAACAACAAACTTGCTGGAATGTCAGTGATCATGACTTGGGAAGAACTACTTTCCTTCAGATACAATGATTATTTGGTAAGACAAGGTGAGGGATGTCCAGTTTTTGAAGCACCTCTCCAGATTCTTTGGCACTTGTCCAGGAAATAGGTGCTGGCCTCAGTGCTACCTGGGTTCTGGTGAATAGGATATGGTGACTGCTGTGTGACTGCTATGTTTGGGTGCCATCGGACTCTCTCCCCAGGGAAGCTCACCCTGGGAACCCAGCCAACATGTTGTGAAGAACGAAGCAGCCCAAGCCACATGGTCATCCTCACACAGGTGTCCAGCTGAGACTGCCCCAGCGAACGTCCCAGCCAAAAGCCCGCTGCACCTGAGAAACCCGTGAATGACCAAGCCTTTAGAGATGATTCCACTTCCCAGCTTCAAGTCATCCCAGTTGATGGCAAGTGGAAAAGAAATGAGCTGGCCTCACTGCAGATTTGTGAACAAGTAAATGCTGCTTTAAGACACCAGGTTTGGAGGTGGTTACTGAGCAGCAATAAGTAACTGGCACAGATACTGACATTAAAAATAGAGTGCTGACACTAAAAAAGAAACACACACGTATGGGAGCATCTCTGAACAGGCGGCAGGTGGAACCCGACATAATGTAGAGAAGCGTGAGAATGAAAACCAAAAGGGCCTCCAAGAAAGGGTGAGTGGAGGCCTGATGGCCCCTGAAGAGGCTGACAGCAAGGGCTTCTAGGCAAGTGAACACAATGACACTGAAAGGAAGATGACAGGGATTCTCGCTAGGAAGCAGCTGAAAGTGAAATCGATGAGAAACATAAGCTAAAAATAGACAAATAAATATAAAAGGACCCCATTTACCGGGTTAAAATATTGATTTCTTGTTTATACCTTCTCCCACATGTCCAATTGTCAAATAATCCTAAAGTAAAGAAATGGCTTCTGGGCTAACATCAAATCCAGGGTGTCCAGAAAACATGTTCGAAGGATGAAGCCAAAACTCATAAAACCCTTAAGACCATAGAAACATTTACGTGGTGCCTCAAAGGATTTTCAGAATGTAAGAATTTTAACGGCACTGCTCTATAACACCTCCAGGAAGCCCAGGTGAAGAGCTGATCTGAAAACAAGTGGTGAGGTGGCTTTTCTGATGCCATGAACCCCAATAAAATTAACTGGACAGACACTCAAAGTTCCTCAGAGAATGCTAGCTTTGCCTCCTGAAGGGAGACCGAGACAGTACACAATCAAAAGGGCCTCTGGGCCTTAGATGTTCCACAGGGAGGACCCAGGCTGTATAAAGAGCTGCAAGCACAGGCCATTTTTTATGAAAAGGACAGAGCAAAGTCTCAGAGGGAACAGCCAAGGGCCACAGAGAAGCACTCCAAGGTCAGGACTAAGCTTTCCTTTCCTCAGTGAGGAAACAGAGAGGATTGTGAAATCATTTTAAATCTCAGGGGCAAAACAAATGCAATGCCTTTTGGCACCATTTAAATACAATTTCTCTAGCTTACTTCAAGCCTGCTTCTATGTTATACCTCAGTGTTTCTCCATAGGAAACAAATTGGCTTTAAAATTTTGAGATTTCAGCCCTCGCTGGTTTGGGTAAGTAGATAGAGCACAGCCTGCAGACTGAAGGGTCATGGGTTCCATTCAGGTAAGGGCACATTCCTGGGTTGTGGGCTCAATCCCCAGTAGGGGGCATTTAGGAGACAGCCCATCAATGATTCTCATCACTGATGTCTCTCTCCCTCTCTCTCTCTCCCTCTCTCTCTCCCCCGCTTCCTCTCTAAAAACAAGTGGTGAGGTGGCTTTTCTAATGCCATGAACCCCAATAAAATTAATATATATATATATATATATATATATATATATAAAAATTTGTGCACTCCGGGGGAAGTGGGTGTCCCTCAACCTGGCCTGTGCCCTCTCACAGTCTGGGACCCCTCGGTAGATAACGACCTGCTAGCTTAGGCCTGCTCCCGGGTGGCAGAGGGCACACCCAATCCCTAAGTGCAGCCCCTGGTCAGGCTCAGAGCAGGGCCGATTGGGGAGTTGAGGCTCTGCCCTGTCAGGCACAGAGCAGGGCGGATTGGGAGGTTGCGATGCCACCCTCAGTCATGCTCAGGATAGGTCCGATTGGGGGGTAGGGGCACTGCCCCCTATCACACTCAAGGCAGGGTAGATGGAGAAGTTACGGAACCACCCCCTATCACGCATAGAGCGAGGACCGATCAGGGGG